TATGGCACAGAAACAGCAACTTCTTGTATGTGATGTTAATGTTGAAAAGTTAATCAAAATATAAAAAGGAAGGCAATTTGCTTACAAATCTCATTTGTAATCAAGGCAAATCAAAAGGGGAGAAAAGCTGTATTTGAAGATTGTTTAAATCATTGAATCAATAGCATGTATTCTCATTGGTCCAAATTCAAAGTAAACTCAGCAACTACATGGATGAGTAAAGAACTCTTTTTCCACCTTTAAAGCTAAACTTGGGGAAAAGTATGTCTTTACAAAGAACCTCAATGAATGAATGTTCAGTAAATACATAATGTTACGTAGAGAGAATGGATCTGAATATAAGTGTTACAAACACAGTGCATTGTCTGTAGCAACAAATTTAGGCTGCTAGATACTAACCCAATTTGTAATATTCTCAACATTATATAATTTCTTTTGACTCCAGGCCACTACTATCCAACGCACACCAAGAAAAATCCTTAACCCCTAGCTTAAAATTTATTATTTCCTAAAATTGTCTGTGATTTATGATGTCTGGAAAGACATCAAAGTATGAATTCGGGCTTAGGGAAAAACAAAAACCTGTCTTTAGCATTATTCAACGACATGGGTACACTATAAGATGAAACCATTTTAAATGGTATTGAAGGACAGCTGTATTGTAAGTGGTTGGCGGATATGATAGATCCCATCCAAACTACATAATCAAAGCACTAAAGATTTGTTTGTATCTAATATAAACAACATCATGGAACTGTACAGTCTGGCTTTCTATACTGTCAGGGATGAATCCTAGTTGATCCACTGCAAACACTAGAGGGAGTTAATAGAAAGAGTCAGGAGGAAGGGAGAAGTGGTGGCAAAGGAGTGGAGCTCTTACAAGCTATTGTGATTTTGTGGCAATAAAGAATCCCACTTAAGCTGTTCATTTCAATCGAAAGTATAAATAGTTAATATGTGCTGTAAAACTAGATTTGTCTACATGGAAGGTTTAAAGTGACCCAAGTGGTAGCATACACACAACACGCTCCATTATTGTGCACTAATTCTGCATATGCCATGACCTCTGGAGTCCTCTTGCCAAGTGGATTAGGTTTGATGCATAGATCACAAGCCTCTCCTGCCACCTGCAGCACTCCTGGAGGGACCATCCTATTTATCAGCCTCCCAGGGTATGTCACTGGTCTGCCTTTTGCATTTTGGAATGAGACTATTTTTTGCCTCTTAATCATCCGCATCAGTCTAAAAGTGTAATCAAGAGTAAAGACAGCCTAAAGTTGATGTAAGGAGCTCAGGCCCTGATGCTCCCCTGTTGCCCCTCTGATATCTTAGAAGTGCCTCAAATATACAAATACAACTGTCAAACCAAAATGGAAAGCGTCTCCATGGCCAAAGAGCAAATGGGAAAAGACAGGGACTGAAGATGCAAAGGCGTCTTATCATATTATGCTGACCCAGTGTAGCCAGACATGAACCCCATCTTGGTTTCTGCCCATCCCCCCCTCCAGAGAGCAAGAGAAAGGCAGTCAGCCTTTGATGCTCTGGGAAGACAGGTGTGCTGCCTGTCCCTGACTCTACCATAAACAGAAACCAGACAGTAAATGGGCTAGCTGACAACCTGGGGCCTCCCGCCGCCCTGATGGCTCTTTTTAGTCAGTAAGTAGATTACTTTGGTAAATGTATTTTCAAATAAAAAATGGGTTCAAGGAAACAATGTTTGGCTTACTGTTTTTTCAAAATAAAAAATTAAAATACATTTTTGGTCCATTACAACTCATCACTGCATGTAATGTACAGTTCTTTAAATACCACTAAAATAAGGCTTTTACAAAAATATATAAGTACCATCTGACTTCCACCAAACAATACTGCACAGGTCACAGTCTGTCCCAACCCCACTTCCATAGATTAGCAGCTACATGGTCAAGCATGAGACTCAACATATGAACAATAGACATCCTTGACAATAACCCCCCAGGTTTTAGTGTTCTCTATGGGATGTCTTGCTGGAAGCTTAAGCTGTTGAGCAAGTCTCTGCACATCGGCTACTACAGGCAACTGGTCAGGGAGGACCAGGGGACCACCAGCCACGTGAACCGCCACCCAGTCCAGGGAAGGTCTGGGACAACCCTCCTCCACTCCAGGCTCTGCTTCTCCCCGCCCTTCTTCTGCCCTGCTGCTCCACCTACCAGGTGGCCCAGGGGACTAGCAGGGCTGGCACTGGCAACAGAGATCTCTTCCCTCTCCCCTCCCACTCACCAGCAGCAGCAGGGTAAGCGACTCGCTTTTAGACCAATGCATGCAGACAATGATCCTGCTAGCTTGCTGTGACAGACTGAAGCACAATCCAGACCATTGGGAGGGGGAGGGGGAAAGGGAGAACTATTATCACCCTTGACCTGAAGCCTTGGATGCCTTACAATGCCTTGATGAGTTAGTTCCCACTTGGGCTGCTCACAAACTTAGGGTGCCTGTGTGTAACCACAGCCTGCCAACTACATCTGGACTTTTCATCAGCCTTGATTATACTGCAAGATGACCCCAACACTTTCCCAGTCCAGGATTTCCCCCCAGAAATGTATGTCCTGTACTCTCTTCTGGACAGCAAAAATATTTTAAGTCCATTATTCCTTCAACAGAATAATATGCCAGCTTTATTTTCTTAAATAAAATTACCCAGACTTGAATTTAAACACACTGGATGAAATAAAATAATGAAACAACATCATCAACCATAAAGAAATGGATTTTAAGTGCATATAAGTAATAAGCGACGAGGAGTCCTGTGGCACCTTATAGACTAACTGAAGTGTAGGAGCATAAGCTTTCGTGGGCAAAGACCCACTTCGTCAGATGCATGCTCATCCTCCTTGATTGGATCCACCTGGTCATCTCCAGCCTGATCCTGGCCTGCATATTTATTCCTGCCTCTGGAAATTTCCACTACATGCATCTGACGAAGTGGGTCTTTGCCCACGAAAGCTTATGCTCCTACACTTCAGTTAGTCTATAAGGTGCCACAGGACTCCTCGTCGCTTTTGCAGATTCAGACTAACACGGCTACCCCTCTGATACTTGACACTATAAGTAATAAGGCATAAAAATCATAAATGGTTACAAGAAAAATAAAGATAAAAATGCTTACTAGTGCCTAACTTTAAAAACTGAGTAGTCTGGGGCACCTTAAAGACTAAAGTGGATTTTGCCCATGAAAGCTCATGATACTGTATATATTTTTGTTAGTCTCTAAGGCTACATCTACACAGTTAAGCTATTTCAAGATACCTTGCACTTTCACCTTCCTGATAACTCCCCTGCTCTCGAGCAATATATTTATACTCCTTCCTAGTTATCTGTCCAAGTTTCCACTTCTTGTAAGCTTCCTTTTTATGTTTAAGCTCACCAAGGATTTCCCCAGTAAGCCAATCTGGTCACGTACCATATTTGCTTTTCTTACTGCACCTCGGGATAGTCTCTTTCAGTGCCTTTAATAGGGCTTCTTTAAAATATTGCTAGCTCTCCTGGATTCCTTTCCCCTTCATGTTAGCATCCCAGGGAATCCTGCCCTTCAGTTCTCTGAGGGAGTCAAAGTCTGCTTTTCTGAAGTCCAGAGTGTGTATTTTGCTACTCTCCTTTCTTCCTTTGGTCAGGAATCCTGAAATCTACCATCTCATGATCACTGCTTCCCAGGTTGTCACCCGCCTCTACTTGCCCTACTAGTTCCTTCCTGCTTGTGATTCTATGATTCTACCTTTGGTATCCAGAAAAAGCTTTTCCACGTCTTAAGAGCAAGCCTGTTATATCGAAATATAACCTGCTCGCTATTCCAACATCCCTGTAAACCTCATTGCACAAAGGTTAAGGGATGTTTCAGAATAGCGCCTTATTTCAAAATTTGGCACAGTGTAGACAATGCCCAATTTTGAAATTACCTTGAAATAAGCTACGCAATTTGCATAGTGCAAATTGCGTAGCTTATTTCGAGGTAAAAGTGCTGTGTAGATGCACCCAAAGGTGCCACAGGGCTACTCACTGTTTTTAAAGTTACAAAGTAACCCAGCCACCCCTCTGAGACTTTTAAAAATTGTTAGATTCAAGTGACATTTCCCACCAAATGCTTCCAGCAAGGTTACCAATGAAACTCTTTAGATCAGAACATCTTTCCCCCTGCCCTACAAGTGTCCAACAGCTGTTTTCTATTGTCCTCTCAGGTGCACTGGACACTGTGTGTGGGGGGGGAGGGTCCCTTGTGGCACTTGTCATTCCTTTTTATAATTCTAGTCCCACTCTGAAAAACCTTCACAGCTGATGATCAGGTGACAAATTGGCTATATGGGAGGAGGTTCTCTGCTGGTTATTTCCCCTTTTTTGATATTTCTTTATTTTACCTTTTTCCTTGATGATTCTTTTTACCGTTTAAATGCAAATTAAGGCAAGTACACCTTTCTGTGTTTATACCAGACCTGTTTCCTAACTTCTGCTTGGGCAGGGCTGTAGTGTTTGGAACATGCATTAATAACATCATACAGGGGAATCTTATAATTCCACATTCAGTGTTCCCACACATTTTATCAGGACAATACTGACCTGCAAACTGTGAGCTTTCAAATGATACTTTACAAAGCATACCCCATACAAAGTCTATCATAATTCACAGCACCAATAATAGCACAGCACCAAGATGCATGCTGCTCAGCTGTAAAGAGATGCCTTCCAAGAATGCTACTTCCTCAGTTAGCAGCAAACTGCCACCATGTGTTCAGATGATGAAAACTGAATATGGAACAGAATCCTGTGTGAATGCTATTGGTGTGACGTGCATAATGCGAGTTACCAGATGCTCATCAAAATGCTCTGCATTAATTCCCTCTTGTAGACATATCCTTAGGTAAAGTATTAGTTTGTTTCCATTTCTTTCTGCATGCATATCATGGCATCATTAGGACATGCTAGTTGGGATATGTGTATCGAGAAGACAAACTTAATAGAAACATAAGAAATTCCTTTTCTTTTTCATTTAAATTAATGTTTATTTGAATTCTCTTGTTTCTGCTCACTTGGCTTCATCCTCTACAGTCTGATATTTCATCTAAAATGGGGAAGAAAGATTATAAGAGGACTTTGGCAAACTGTAGATATACATCCTCTAGGAAAATACAATCATTTTCAGTGAACACAATACAATGAGGAGGTGTCTTATTACATAATTGAGGAGACAATGTCTTTTATATGCTTCCTGGCTCACTTTTCACACTAAATTAATCTTAATAAGCATCTGCTTTGAGTTAAGAGAGTTTTGTGATAATTCAACCATGACATCTCTAGAAGTCCAAATGATTTCACTTTATGCCTCAGACTGGAGTATTCTTTTGAAACATTCCTTTTTACTGTATGATAATCAGTATGTTAACATGAGTTGATTAATCCCATCAGTCTAAGTAATGTCAATATCCTTTGGCTATGAAATCATTGGCTTTACAACCCGAACTGGAAGATATACAACTGCATTTATCTTCTCAATTAGTCAACTGTTAGTTTTTTAATATTTATTCAAAGCAAAACCTTTTTTATAAACCATCAATGCAACACAATAGAAAGTAGAGACCTATTAAGAAAGGCTTCCTTTTAATTTTAGAATAGAGACTGAATTGATGCAAATGTAAAATGCTTATTCTAATTTACCAGATTATCTATAGTCTTGGAAGGATTAGATTTTTATTGCCAAATGTTGCTAAATATTAATTTAATCATATGCACACAGAGGCATGCAAACATATTTCAAGTGATAGCAGTCAGCATTTACAAACATGTAAAGAAATAAAACTGACACTGGAGAATTTATTATGATTTCATTTAAGGATATTTACTCTGTATAGTTTGAAATATATAAAAAAAATCCAAAATAAGCATCAATATTATCTGTCAAAATTATGTTAAAAAATTGAATTCTCCCAAGTCTAAACATGTAGCTATACCTCAGCAGTGATAATTCAAAATCCTGGTGATCCTATTTAATTTGAAATTAATGGAAAAAAAGAGTATGCAGTAACTTGCTGAAAAAAGCCCTGTTTTAACATTCCAATGTTCACATATTGTCTTTAAATAAAAAAGCAGCAAAGAAAACCAAAGCAAAAAAGATACCTTTGTTTTTTGTGATTATCTGCTCAAAAAACTTATATTAGCACATTAAAAAAGCCTCTTCAAAACACATTTCAGTTACTTTTGTCAGCTGTCAGAGCAGTTTGTAAGACCAGAAGGAGACACAGCCAAATGAAGCTGGGTTGGAGTTGACCAATACTTCAGCTGGAGACCTTTGGACACTGCAGGAAGTGGCTTGGTGATTTACTCATTGACATTCTTCTCTCTGAGGGTGTGTCTAGACTACATGCCTCCTTCGACGGAGGCATGTAGATTAGCCAGATCGGAAAAGGGAAATGAAGCCGCGATTAAAATAATCGCGGCTTCATTTAAATTTAAATGGCTGCCCCGATCTGCCGATCAGCTGTTTGTCGGCAGATCGGGGCAGTCTGGACACAACGCGCCGACAAAGAAGCCTTTCTTGATTGGCACAGGTATGCCTCGCGAAACCACGGTTACCCTTGGCCGTCCAAGA